AAAAAAAAAAAAAAAAAAAAAAAAGGTTCTGTTTAGATTAACACAGTTGATGCATTGTTCTAAGTTTTAAAAAAAAATGATAAATATTTAAAACAATATGGTAGATAGATGTAGACATGACCCACATACACAGACTCTGGAGTCTTCAACAATGGTTAAGAGTGTAAAATCCTCAGATCAAAAAGACTGAAAATTACTCTTCTGGACTAAGCATTCAGAACATTTTTAGTATAAAGACATAAAAAGCATGGAGTAGACAAGGAGTCATTAGGTATGATTGCAATATTAGTATGGAATGAACTCGTGTGAGATGAAGTAGGGAATGACATGATGTTGAATGTCTTGGTATGCCAAAATAAACAGCTTTTTTAAAAAAAGAAGTTTTATTTAGGTATAGTTTACACCTCATACAATGCACCAAGAAGTATACACTCAATCTTTTTTGGAATATTACATTATAGTTTTTAAAATTGATATAAATATGCATGTATATCCACATATATCAAACAATATTTGAGGTTTTACCTATTTTAAGGTGTACAATGCAGTAGCTTTTATTGCACTCCCAATATTTTGCAACCATCAACACTATTATTTCTGAAACTTTTCATCATTTCAAATAGAAACTCTGTTTAAGGCAGTAACTCCCCATTTCTCCCTTTCCTTCGTCCTTGGTAATGAATATTCTCTGTCTCTATAAATTTGCTAATTCTAGATATTTCATATAAGTGGAATCATCATACATTTGTCCTTTGCACCTGGCTTATTTTACTTTGTGTAGTGTTTTCAAGGTTCATCCATGCTATAGCTTGTATTGGAACTTCATTGTTTTTATGACTGAATAATACTTCACTGTATGTGCATATCGCATTTTGTTTATCCAGTTATCTGTTTATGAATGCTTGGGTTGTTTCTACACTTTGACTATTATGAATAATGCTGCAATGAACATTGATGTACAAATATCCAAGATAAGGTGATAAAAGAAAAATAAGAGAGTGTTGTAATGAATATATATATGTGTGTATGTGTGTGTATATATATATATAGTTTAATATAAGAGAATCTGAAAAGTAAGATTTATGTTTCATGAAGATCACTCTGTGTTATGTTTAGGTTTGACAAAGTGTAAGCATTGTGAGGGCCATGTCTAAAGGCAAAGATGCCCTAGATAATTTTGTCATATTTTAGATCCTGTTTCAACTGTAGTAAATTAAACTGAAAACATTTTGATTAAAGCTATACACAACCAAATCATTCTAATCCTCTCATCCAAAATCAAAGTCAGTAGAATCAATAACACTTTACTGACTGTAGAGAAGCATTGAAACATATGTAGGGAAGTGAACCATGATGGCCAGTAGTTTGAAACATCAGTCAACCTGGGGTTCATATCACAGTTTGACTTTTGTTTCCTTTGTGCTACTGTTTATTTCCTCACCTACAAAATGGAAAATCAACCCATACATTTTTTGTGAAAATTTTATGAGAAAGGGTATCTAAAAATTATATAAATAAGCATGATTTTAATACAAAATTATATTACCATATTTGTGACACACTTGTGGATTATTTAGGACAGCAGTCCTCAACCTTTTAAATAAGGACCAGTTTGATGGAATATAATATTTTCATGGACGAAGAAAGGGGATGGTTTCGGGATAAAACTGTTCCACCTCAGATCATCAGGCATTAGATTCTCAAAAGGAGCACACACCCTAGATCCCTCATAAGCACAGTTAACTATAGGGTTCGTGCTTGTATGAGACTCTAATGCTATTGCTGATCTGACAGGAGGTGGAGCTCCTGTGATAATGCTGAGTCACCTGCTACTCACCTCCTACTGTCCCTCCTGGTTCTCAACAGGCCAAGGACAAGTACTGGTCTGTGGCTCAGGGGTTGGAAACCCCTGATTGAGGATAATAATCTTTGTCTTAAATTATTTTTAGCATATGAATTACGGTCGTTAAACAATCAGAAATAATTACAATAAATAAAGATATAAAGTAGTGCATTGAGGCCTGATCTAACACTTAAAAATTAAGATTAGTCTGCATTGACAATTTACGTGAACCTTTGTGAACATCCTCCCTACCACACCCCACATCTTGCCAAGAAGTTGCCAGTTTTTAACCATTACAATTCTCTCTGAAAGTTTTTTAGGTGAATGTATACTTTAACTTGCCAGATCAGAAAAGAAAACAGATAAAACAAAATGAAACAAAACAAAAACCCTCAAAAAACCCAGTTATTGGCACATATAAATAAATATAAGTAAGATGTAAAATGTGTTTCCGTCTTGGTATTCCATTTTATTAAATTTGGAAAAGTATATGTCCTTTTGTTACATCTCTAAATAGTTAGCCAAAGTAGATTCATGAAAATTTAAGTATTAAAAATATCAGAGAGTTCTCCACTTCACAGACTTTCATCCTTTATATGGCTGAATATACAAAATGGACAGGATAAAGTCTTTCTTCTTGAACTTCCCAAACGAAATTTTTGGCCTCAGGTTTAAAAGATGACAAGTCATTAAATACAATTCAATATTTATTAAGTGCTTGCAGTATGTCATAGATTATTAGGTGTGGGTGAACAAGGATGAAAATGTCTTCCTTCTAGCCTTTGGAAATTCACAGTATAAAAAGAGGAAAATACAATAGCTCACTTTTCCTATGAATAGTCGAGATCCCTAGCCAAGACCCTCTTAAAAATCTACACTTTGAAGCCATCTCTAATTTTAAAACCACAGTAATGATTTATAAAATATATTTTAAAATGAAAATTAAATAGAGATAGCTATCAAAAAACCAAGATAGACTTTTCTTTGAGTGATAAACAGAACAGAAATAAAAAGCAGAGAAAATGACTGAAACAATTCTAATCCACGCTACTTAGATGCTACAGAGGGATGTGGTCTAAAAAGAACTTACTTAGGTTCTTCCCCAAGGACTGCGGAAGGCTGCCCCACAGGGAAACAAGGCTGAAGTAAAGCTGAGCCATCTACTGCTAGGCTAATGACTCATAGGAAGTGACTAACCTAAAAGCTCGGAGACCTCAGAAACAGCCTCATGATCAGCTTTGAGCGAGTTCCTTGCAAGTTATTGACTGCAAGCTCTCATATGCTCTGTGGAGCAAAAACTCAAAAGAATTATGAAAGAGAAGGCTGCAGTTTAAGGAGCAGAGGTTCAATGAAGTCCACTACGAAACCACCCAGCAGAGAGAAGTGAGTACTGAAAAAGAAGTGTAAAAATAACCCTTAAAATATGAAAAGTCAATTTCCAAAACACATGGATTCTTAAAAAAGGCAGCTTAAAAATCCCCACCAAGCAGAAGATGAATGAAACTGAAAATAAAAGAAGAATCTGAACAATGTTTACTTTGGGTTTATCAAAGGGCCAAATGGGGGAAATAGAATTGGAAAGAACAAGAAATAGGGACATCCAAGAAGCCAAAATTACATATGTAAGAAAAAAATTTACTAAAGTTAAAACAATTAAATATCTTGGAAATGGCAATTATGGTCAATATAATTAAAATTAAAACGAAATCTCAATTGATAATATTAAAATTATATTGGACTAATGAAAGTGAGAATGCATAAATATGATGCTAATTCATTAATAAGAAATTAATAAGTTAGAGACAGTAAGATATAAAAAACACAAGAACACTTGTGAAATTTGGAGGATAAACTAATAGATTTCATAGCATTTTAAGCTAATAAATGTTGACAAATGGGCAAGAAGAGAAAGACAGTAGAAAAGTGACACTCAAAGTGGTAATGACACAGTTTACTAGAAGTGAAGAAAGAAATGTCTCTAGATGGGAAATTAGCTGTAAATATTGATACTAATAAAATTAAGTCAGCTACCAAAGTAAAACTGCAGAGCATCATGAAAAAAGAAAAACCTTAAGGTGCTACCAAAAGTAGTAGACACTGTCTACAGAGGGAAGACAATGGTATTTAATCAGACTTCTCATCAGCAACAAGAGTAAAATCTTCAGATTAGCAAAAAATATATATAATTCTATAACTGACTGAATTATTAAAAATGGAGGGAAATGATCATTTGAGAAATATAAAGGCAGTAACAGTATATATATTCTCACTAATAGAAAAAAGTATAAAGTAATGGCTTAAGAAACTTTACAGTTTCAAACTTAGAATAGTGGCTTCAAATGCCTGTAATTCAAGTTAATGAATTTTATATTTTACATTGTAACTGTTGTTTCAG